TTTAATTGATTGCTTTTTTATATTGAAGAGGTATTTTTTAGCTTTAAACCCCGCTGAATTTAAACTCAAAATCCCTTTTGCTACGCTCATAGCATTTTCAGTGTGTAATCTGCTTTTTTATATTGAGTGGTGTTTTATAATAAATTTAGGAGGGGGTTTTAAAATCAAAATTTTTCTTAGTTATGCTCTTGGAATTTAGGGATTGTCGTTTGCATTATTTTTTGTTTGTTTTGAAGAAGAGAGGAATTTTACTGCAAAACCCACTGGTAGGGGTTTTAAGCTCAAAATCCCATTGGCTGCGCTGGGGCAAGCGATGGTTTAGTATTTAGATTGCATTTGGCATTAAAAAATACGGGTGGGGCAGCTCGATATTTGAATTTAATTTATAGCATATATAAATTATATTAGTGACAGTTTTTTATTATTTTGTAATTTCTTAACTATAATACTAAAATATAAAGTATTGGCTTGTCCGATGGGGGGAAGGTGATTGCATGTATCACCCCTCCCACCTGGTACAACCCTTCTCATTTTATATTTACTAATCATAAAATTTGAGATTAGAGTGTGTGTGCGAAATAATATACAATGGGTTCAAATATCAATATGTAGTTTATATTATATAGATATTCGACTACTTTTGTTCACATACTGTTGATTTCTCCATAAAAATAGGACCCCCCCTCCACTCAGAGGGCTAGAATTGGAGGGCAGTATATGCAATCGCCCCCCCCCCCCCCCCCCCACCGAGCCGGCCAAAATACCAGAATTGGAGCGACATAATATAAAATGTATATATTAATTCAACTAATTTTGTTCACAAACTATGATTTCTCCATAAAAGTAGGACCGCCCCCCCCCCCACTCAAAGGGTCTAGGTGGCAAGGGCTATAGAGGTATTCACCCCCCCTACCCAATCAGCTAATAGGGTAAAGATCGGTTAAAATACCAATAACAAGTTTTAATCATATATTTATTTAATTGATTCTGTTAGCAAGCTATGATTTCTACAAATAAATTGGACCGCCCCCTCCCAATCGAAAGTTTATGGAGGGGGGAGGCGAAATTGATGCTATCACCCCCTCCCGAATCCTTCATATTGGCCAACATACTAGGGGGGGGGGGGAGAAATAATCTAAAAATAGGTTGAAATTTAAATAATTAGTATATATTATTAATATAAATAATAAATTCGTATACAAATTGTGTGAATTCTATACTAAAATTCGTCCTCCCCTTCCCCTTCGGGGGGGGGGGGGTCGGCCGAATGAGGGAGCGATCGCCCCTACTGCCCCCCTGGATCTGCCAGTGCCTAGAAGACAATGTGCAGAATGTTCCTGAACATTAAATTATTAAATTCTTCAATAAATGCTGAAATACCCGAAGACACATATAAAATATAAATATTTTCTAGTTCTCTAGCCAAAATTTAAATTTATTTAATTTCAAATTTCAAAAATTCATATATGGGTGAAATTAGAGCATTAGATTCCATGAATATATGAGGTATTGTACAGAGTATCAGGGATTTTTATATTTCTATGTAGCAAATAGTATTTTCAGGCTTCATATCTCAATGTATCAGAGGTTCACATAATTTTTCCGTAATGAAAAAAATCTGAAAACCATCTGCTCTTGTAATGGAAATACCAAGAATGTATCTCCATTAGACTGCTACACAAAACTATGCCTTTGGATAATATTAATATAATATTACAAACAAAACAAAAGAAAAGAAAAAAAACAATGATGATATAACACGATATTGCCTGTTCTTTTAGTCGTGTCATTATAATTGAAATGAAATATCAAATAGCTCAATCTCGATGTGAGGAGCACACGCTGTTATTAAAAACTGGCCAACATGTCAAGAAGTAATCAATACTCACACAAAGAAGGAGATTAGACAGGGCACAGTTTTTAAGGTACTTCTACAAAGTCAATTTATTAAGGTACTACTAGAAGGTCAGTTTATTAAGGTTCTACAACAAAGTCAATTTATATAGGTACTACTACAAAATCCATTTATTAAGTCACTACCAGAATATCAATTTATTGAGGCACTACTAGAATATCAATTTATTGAGCCACTACCAGAAATCTAATTTATGAAGTCACAACTAGAATATCAATTTATTGAGGCACTACAAGAAATCTTATTTATGAAGTCACTACTAGAATATCAATTTATTGAGACACTACAAGAAATCTTATTTATGAAGTCACTACTAGAATATCAATTTATTGAGGCACTACCAGAAATCTTATTTATGAAGTCACTACTAGAATATCAATTTATTGAGGCACTACCAGAAATCTTATTTATGAAGTCACTACTAGAATATCAATTTATTGAGACACTACTAGAATATCAATTTATTGAGGCACTACCAGAAATCTAGCAGCACTAAGGTACCAAGGTTATCGAGAGTAAAGTGCATAGCAAACGACCAGGTACCAGTGTAAATGATTGTTCTGCCTACAATAGATTTGGCCCTGCCAGATATTGCACTTACTTACATTGGTCCTGCAAGATTACCTGTTAGTTATTGGTCCTTCTAGACTTTAGTTAGTCCGACTAAAGATTTGATTTGATAGAGAAAAATATTTTATTCCAAAGCTTAAATTCTACAAAATTTGAAAACTATTTCTTGATTCAAGAATGGAAAAGGAATATATTGTAATAACAGAAGGAAGGCAGCTCAGCGAGATATATGTGTTTATTTACAAGAGGACATGACAAACACGTAGGTTATCTGCCTTGAGCACAGCATCTTCAAATCGGCTATAGATTTAGGCGGAAATTGTTCACCTTCCTAATGTAAACATCCTTCCTACTCTGGTTTCTAGAAGTGCGCACCTTCGGCACTAGCCTGTATGGCGATGCGTATGTCAGAGTTATAACATTGCCCCCTTCTTAGCGCTTTTCGTCCCGAAAAGAAACAGTGCCTTGAACGTTTGACTGTTCAGGTGGAGGTCGATCGGTGGGAGCCACAGACGGTAGGGTGTCTGTTGCCCACGAAGCCATCTGAGCAGTTTTCCTCTTTGACAGTGCAAGTGGAGGTCGATCGGTGGGAGCCACAGACGGTAGGGTGCCTGTTGCCCACGAAGCCATCTGAGCAGTTTTCCTCTTTGACAGTTGAGGTGGAGGTCGATCGGTGGGAGCCACAGACGGTAGGGTGCCTGTTGCCCACGAAGCCATCTGAGCAGTTTTCCTCTTTGACAGTTGAGGTGGAGGTCGATCGGTGGAAGCTACAGACGTTAAGGTGCCTGTTGCCCACGAAGCCATCTGAGCAGTTTTCCTCTTTGACAGTTCATGTGGAGGTCGATCTGTGGGAGCCACAGGCAGCAGGGAGTGTGTTCCTCACGAAGTCATCTGCACTTGTTTCTGCGGCCGTCACTTTCTTTTCTTTCAGTTGACCAGGCTGTTCTTGGGACGATAACATGGCCGTTTGGCACACAAAGAGATAGCGTTGAGCACTGTTTTCTTCTACATAGATGTTGATCGGATACACTGTATAAGTAGACCCTCCCGACAGACTTCTCTCAAGGGAGCTTCAGGTTCCCATGCAGCCACGATGCAAACGAAGTCCAATGCACCGCGGTTATCCTCGGCTAACAGTCTCACGTCCAGGAGAGAGGTCTCTTCAAGTTCAAGTTGAAGATGTGTTCCTCTTGACAGCTCTGATTAAGCCTGGATTGACTGACATTCGTCTATGCCAATGTCGATGATGATGGCAGAAGTACAAATGCTTTGTTAGTTGTTTTCTTGACATCCATATTCTCTGTGTGAAGTTACGCAAGTACAGTTAATGCTAAACTTCTGGATGCAGCTATCGAGCTTCAAACTTCTCTAATGAGCACCGGCAGATAGGCAGAGGTCTTTTAGGTCCATAGCAACAGGCTTGGACGCAGACCAAACGTTGTCTTGATCTGTCCAGCTCATTAAGGTACTCGTAACAGGTACAACAGGAACAAACGCTTCAGGCACATAACAGACTTCAGTTTCTGCATTTGTCTCTTTTCTTTCAATTCGGTACATTCCGTTGAGATCGTCTCGTTTCTCGTCTAGAAAGTCACGCCACAAGATTTGCCCACAACACAGCCACAGACGCGCTCCAATCTCTGTCACCACTGTTTGTGCAGCCACAGTCCTGACAATGCAACTTCTTCACCAACAAGTCTACGGGCAACTGCTTCTTCACCAACGAGTCTATTCCTTCTTTTGCTTGAGATACCATTTCATCTACCTTGTTCCTCATAATGTTAATTTGTTCACACATTGCATCAATACCTTCATGTATCTTGCCAATGAGCTCATAAATCTTTGGTTTAATTTCAAATAGGTAGGTATCCGGAGGCTTCAGACATTGCCAGTGACAGATCTTTATGGAGACAGCTTGCCGCCCAATGCGCCGAACGGCGCGGAAGGACCTAAGTTTAAGTCGAAGTAAGGTATCCGGATCTTCGTCTTCATCAATCAGGGCTTGCCAGAGACGAGCTGTAAGCACCTCCTTGGTACCACTATGCTTTTAAAATCGGTAACGAAGTTCCTGCATAAGCTATTTAATTGAGTGTTTGTCTAATTGTTTCAAAGATGCCATTGTGATGAAATCCTACCTCCTCTCGCCTATAATCCCACTTCTGACACCAATGTAATAACTGAAGGAAGGCAACTCAACGAGATATATGTGTTTATTTACAAGAGGACATGACAAACATATAGGATATCTGCCTATATATATATATATTAACCTGATTCAGATGTCCTTAAGGTCCGAGAATGTCCCGTTCCCTATTATGGACCTCTTGACCAAGGAAAGGCTTTTATCCATGGACAGAATGAGGCATCGGCTCTTCACCAATCCCTCTGTTCGAAGTCCCGCCTTATCCGAAGTGATCATGTATTCACACCCGGTGTGTCGCTAGTTACGGCCCCCTTGAGCCCCGCACGAGTTCGCTATCCCGTGCGAGGCCGGAGGCCGAGCCGCGTGGCGGCCCTTCTTATGCCTATAATGTCCCACCGAACCCGTGCGAGGGTCCATCACAGCGCGTATGGCCCCCGTTAGGGAACGAATCAATGGGGGGGGGGGGTTGGACGGGTTAGCGAGCCTTTGTTACATTTCTACCACGTGCAGTGTACAATCTCTCGACCATACTTGTGGTAGCCCACTGAGACCTATGTTCGTTACCATTCTTAGCCTATCCGACTCCCTTGGCGGACGTTTCCACGGAGGCGCCTCGCTGAGACGACGGTAGCTGGAATTCCTCCGTATATATTAACCAGCATTACCCACCGGCTTTGCCTGTTGAATAGTTCCCAGTCTATATGTTGTAGATTTTGGCCCTACTTTTCTTGGCACTTCCAATAAAACGGCTCTGCATTTCAACTTTCGGCCTTATAGTTTTAAGCCCTTGAATTCTAGTATCTGTTACATTGAACTAAAACGACACGCTCTCTTTCCTTCTCTTTCTCTCTCTTTATCTCCATGTTTTTTTCCCACTTCACATAGTAATGCTCTACTACATATTAGAACGACACGCTTTATAATGCCCCTCCCCCAAATGACAACACACGCACGCCTAATTTAGCCCGTGAATTCTTGTATTACTTTTCTCTACCACTGATCACAATTTAGCCTATTCTTTACACATTTCGTTTTAAACAAACTCAGAGGCGGCCCCCAACAGATCTTCACACTGATCCGCTTGAAGGTGTGAAGGTTTGAAGGTTTGGCTTAGGTGTGAAGGTTTGGCGAAGGCGTGATGGTTTGGCTTAGGTGTGAAGGTTCGGCGAAGGTTTGAAGGTTTGGCGATGATTTTGTGTTGGGGTAGGGTCCCATGGATCTGCTTTTTCATTTAATTTCTATTGACAACACACACTGCTTATAACCCATAACAATTTAAATTGTTTTAAAAAGTGTGCGCATAGACTAAGATAAAGACTGCTTTGTTGATCCTTACTGTAAATTCGTTGCAATAATAATGGCTCTTTTTTCAATCATAAAACAACAACAACACTCCACAATAAGAACAGACACAATACATTGTTAATTATACGCCAGAAAATAATCTATGAACATAATTCTCTTCTTCCCTCAACAGTTTAAACGAGAAGTAAAGGAAAGATCACTCTTATTTCAGCGGATAGTCCACGAGAAAACAAGGGGGGGGGGGGGAGAAAAGGTAGTCACAAAATAGCAGGACCGGACCGTTGTAACCAAGAAATATCACTTTTTTTTTATTTCTACCTCACGTTAAAAAAAAAAAGGGGGGGGGGGAGTTATCTACTCTGTAGTAACTATCGAGGCGACACAGAGCACGCTCAAGAGTTTGGACACCATGAAAAGATCACTCTTTTATTTTAGCAACTCGGACGGAGCAGCTATCCTAGGTAATTTAAGAGGCGAAAAAAAAAAAAAAAAAAAAGAAAGGTGGGAAGTAGTATTCATCCATCACTAAATAGCAGAACCGGACTTAACCATTGTAGAGCCCTATGAGAAACGGATTTCGCGGGGCCAAGTTTGGGTAGTGATACGGATAATAAGTGAAAATTAAAAGTTTGTATTAGAAAATAATTCGTCTCTGCATTCTATTCATTCTTTACTACGCACAGAAATACTTTACGAGCCTTGCGTGTAGCGAAGTCATACAGTATATCATACAAATTCTGTTTCCTACATAGATCACGCTCAATAGCAAGAATTACCAAATGTTTCAATCTATCTAAAAGAATTGTACGAGATTTGTATGAGTTTTCAAAAGACTTTAATAATTTCCGGATATTTCCAGGACTTTTTCGTATATTTTACAGTGGCCTAAGGTAATGACCCTGCAAAACAGCGCCGTATGGTCGACTAGTTAAGTAATATTCTGGATCCGACCAACAATGGGCACTTTTAACCTTAAACTATGGCAACTATATACTTACCAACATTGATACTGTAGTCTTACCACCTAGGGACACATTATAGGCCTACAGATTATATAAACCATATTGTTATAACCTTGCCATGCACACCGCCATCCAAGATAGTACAGAAAGAAAGTCCGCACTATTTGTGACTAGACTAGGAAGGATGTTGACATTATTAGGAGTAAGAAGAACGATTTCCGCCCAAGTCTAGAGCCGAGATGAATATGCTGTGCTCAGGGCAGATGTCCTGTGTTTGTGATGTCTCCGTGTAAATAAACATCTATGTCTCGTTGAGTTTCCTCCCTTTAGTTATTACAATATAAAGCTCATCCTTTAAGGTCGAAGATGAGCATATTACTTATTTCCAATGAATTCAAAGATGGCTATAATGTTCAATACTCCCTTTAAGAAGCAGGTCACACACATGTCATTGATAGGTTCCAGCGACCTAGAGCTAATGTTTCCCAGCCGTGAATGTCAATATCAAACTCCCGAAGAGAACTTTTAAGAGTGCCTTTGCATCGCTTGTGTTGACATCCCTGAGAGAGCTTTCTTTCACACATAAAGAAGTTGTTTTGGAATGCGATTTTCTGGCATACGAACTACATGTCCCGCTCATCAATATTTGGGACCTTTTTTTCTTTGGCGTGGCTACTTGTTCATATGTGACAACTGTAGGATCTCAACATTTAGTATGAGGACAAACCTGTTCATCTGATGCTTTCTTTTTGTATACAGCATAGGTGGACGGAGTGAAGCATTTTGATATGGCGGACATATAAAAGTAAAGGGAGGACTAAAGCACTTTCAGTTTTTTGTAGATATATACATACTTATTCTTGAGGTCTGCCAAAGGCAGCACTGATACGTGCCACACGGAAGTCTACTTCGACATCTAGATTGGCATTTGTTAATATGGCCGATTTTAAGTTTGTGTTTCCACACAAACTGTCTTTGTAACCTTGTTTACATTGAAATTGAGACCAAATTTTTGATGAATAGGGACGAGCTCTTTTGAAGGTCCTCTTCATAAGAAGCATTTATAGCTCCTCCTTTGTGGTCGAAGATGAGCACATTTCTCAAATCCTATGGACTCAAAGATGACTGCAAAGTCCAATCCTCGCTTTAAAAAGCCGATCGCTTACGTGGCATGGGTAAGTTTGGTCAGTTGCAGATAAGCATCTTCTTTTCCCAGTTTTCTGTTGGTTCGGCGCTCTTTCACCCTGGCCACCCTTGCTTCAAATCTCGAGACTCCGAGACCCACAGCTTCACGCCATGAGGAGCGATAGAGAGCTAGTGCTTCCCAGTCTTCAATGTCGATATCGCACTCGTTGAATGAGCTCTTTAGAGTGTCTTTGTAGCACTTGTATTGACCTCTCTGAAAGCGCTTTCCTGCACACAGGTGCAGTATGAATGCGACAGTAAAAAGGTCCCAACTTCGATGGGCGGGACATGTAGTCCGCATGCCAAACAATCGCCTTCCCAAACGACTTCTATAAGGGGAGTTGCGTGCAGGATTTCCCTTCCTATTGTAGAGATGAATAATGGAGATATCTTTGAACACTTGAGGTAGTTTCTTTTGTTCCCACATTATCTGGTAGATTTCTGTTAGTTTAGCTGTCAGCTCTGAACTGCCAAGTGAGTATATTTCATTCATCAGGATGGAGTCTATTCATTGAGCCGGGGGAGCATCAGCTTGGATATAGTTGATTGGGACTTGAACGAAAGTTGAGGACGGTGTTGAAAAGTTCTGCCCAACGAACAAGTATTTCCTCTTTGTCTGTGAGAAATTTGTTTCCATCAGCGTTATGAACCATACAAAGTTTTGATTGAATTAATGTTTTGGCGTTTTTTTGAGTCCACGTCAGCCTGGATTTTCTCCGCTTTTTTGTGCTAAACTAGGAATCCTTCACGAGTCTGTAGTTTCTCTGGACCTCCCTTTTGGCATAAGTGTAGCGTTCTCTGATTTGGGGTTAAGGTGGATTGCACCGATGGGCCTTATAAAAGTGTTGCTTGAGTTTTAAGAGATTTTCGATTTGTGTATTGTTTACGTGGAACCAGTCTTGGTGCTTCCGTTGTGTCTGACCGAGAACACTTAGTCATAAAGTACACCAGAGTCTTTCAGTTTATTCCAGCCACGTCCTTGTTCACGTGCAAGAGTTGTGTTTCACTGTCTAGTTTATTGATAAGCTCTTGCTTGGTATCTGGGTTTGAGAGCTTGCCGACATCTAGGCGATTTGCATAGGCCTACTTACTTTCTTGGGGTGGTTTGATGCATATTTTCAACTTAAATAATATTAGGTCCAATATTCCACTCCGCATACAGCTTTTGTGATTTAGACATCCTGTTTGTCACACTGTCTGACTATAAGGAACTCTATTTGATGACAGTGCTTGTATCTGGGATGCATCCACGATGCCTGTGTGTGGCAACTCTGGCAGCTTGTGGGCTGTGCACATTTCTTAGAACAGTGCGCCATTGCTGTTGCATTGACTGTCAGAAACATTTCTTCGGGTTTTTCAGTCAGATCTCACTCTGACGTTAAAGTTCCCCAATATGATAAGTTTTTTCTGTTTTGTGTGTTTTCCTAATTACAGAGTTCCTTGTGCACTATATACCAGCCAACCAACTATTATAGATCTTATTATTATGGACACTGTATAACTACCATGGTCACTCAAGCCCTTTCAACTATGGACATGATAAGTCTATAATTTAATTGAAAGAAATATATTCTAGTTTTCAATATGATATTAATAGATTAATACTGTGGAACTTTAAAAGTTCTATAAGATTTCTTTCTATCCTTTTACTAAACTTTACGGTAAAACAAACGAGGCCACTTTCCCTCTGCAATAGAGAAGTACACGCCCTTAAACTTGTGAAAATGACAAGAGAAAAAAAAAGATGCATCTTTGAATGAGAGATTAGACCTGGTGTCTTGTCTGACAGTTTGTTATGTGTCCCGACTGTCACAGAAGAAGGTCAATCGAGTTTTCCTGTTAGCTTGATTTCGACCCGAGGCTTCCTTTCCTGGCAGTGTCTAGGCGAGAAATATAATTCTATCAGCGAGTCTCACAATCCCATTCTGTTAGGGTCTAGCCCTGGGGTTTAGAACAGGCCTTACGTTCTTTCAATAGTCTCTGTTTTAAGAGTAGGTTTTAATAGCTCATGGTGTCCCATTTGTGGTTTGTAAGGCTTATAATGTAAGAATAAGATTAATACATATCATACATAACATAAACATAACATATAAACAACACAGCATTATACAATAACAAATGTAGC